TTGGAGGGTTGTCGACCATCTATAAGAGGGGGGCATGGTAACTACTTTTGCTACTCATTGCAGGTACAATAGGTTCAAGTACCGTATTTCCTCGAATAAGTGCAGCGGGCGCCTATATAAGATTCGATTAACGTCTACTGATTATCCTGTAGTTGAAGCTTTAAAGTTATGAATAAGTTGGCAGCATAGAAACAGGTTTTCATTGTATCCATACCATCTCAAAAAGGAAGGAAGGGGGAAAGAAGCGCGCTCATTAAGAAACTATTAACATGTATTGATTTCGCTGCCTAAAGGCCCAGAGAGGTTGGGCGCTTATTAGCGCGTTGGCGCATCTTCGAGGAAATACGGTAGTTGCTATTTTCTTGTTCGTTCGTTTTTTTTTTGTTTTTTTTTTGTTGCTTTGGAGGTGACAATTTGAGCTTAAATTAATTGAACTTTTCTGACCCTTGCATTAAAGGATTATAGGATTTTGTCTTCTACAAAACGAATTGTGTCCGATCAACCTCAACAGACATGTTATAAAGCACATCCTCTCAAGAAGGGTAAGGAAAAGTTTGTATTATTTGATATACAAATGCGCACGGTCTGATTGGTCGAGGACCAGGCAATAACCTGTAACTATCACCCCGCGCGGGGGGAATACAACATAGGCTACTCTAATCCCTTAACGTAGCGGCTGCCAGACTTCTTGTAATTTCTGAAAAAAATTAAGACAAAAATTAAAACAAACAGAGAGAAAACATGGTCGCTCTGATCATAATCACAGTAGGTATAGCTAAACCGCTGATCTTGCCCTGAGCTCCGAGAATATCATTACTCTCTTCCAGATGACAAGATTACACTTGTCATTGCTTTCAAATTATTCTGTATTCGTTTGCATTTCAACAGCTCTTTAGGAAGGACCATGTGGTTTAAAATGTGCCAAATGGATGGGAACATTTCTTTAAGATAACAACAAATTAAGATAACAACAAATTAGCCCACTAAAGGGAGCTTTAGTAAGACAGTTTTCTTTTTTCTAGATTGGTTGGCATGACCTTGCCTTTTTCGACCCTACACTCTACGAAAGTTTACGGAATATCATCGTCGAAGCCACGTCCCCAAATGCAGAGCACATTTTCAAGGGCCTGGACTTGACATTTAATGTCCAGGCCACTGTGGAAGAAGGTGATGGCGGCCAAGTGGAATTGATCAAAGGTGGAAAAAATGTTTCTGTCACGCCATCTAACGTGTATGACTATGTGCGACTGTATGCCGACCACAGAATGGTGGGCAATAATAAGAAGGCTCTCCAGGTAAGTTGGGATGGCTTGATTTATCACTTGATTGACTCTTGTGAGTTTTTGAGCCTTTGTCGGTAGAGTATTGAAAGTGATCCGCTATTGGTTTGGCTTTGCTCTGTAGTGTGATTGGTTCATCAAACACGCACAATGACAACCAATCAGATTCAAGGTAGAGACGAGTTTTGACTTGGTCAATCACGTTTTCCCGCGGTCTCATTGGATCATCGTTATTTTTTCTTTATTCTGATCGGCTGGTTCTGGTTGTGCCAAGTTTAATTGTCAAAAGTGCCTCAAAGTATTCTTATCAAACACAGAGAAGGCGAATTCAAGACATTTACTCGTGGCAAAGTTTCGAAGGGGAATTTTTTTTTTTTAGGGATTTGCGGAGGTTTTACAGTGAAGTTTTCCTTCACGAACGAACTAGAGATCTCTCTTTGTATAGGTGGTTATTTTAAACTTTAATCTTTTGATTTTATAATCAGCAGTTATCGAACACTGAGTTTACATTTTTGCATCTTGGGCATTGAAACTGTTTTTACTCCTGTTGAAGGCTCTTCGCAATGGAGTATTGGATGTGATACCTTTATCTGCCTTTGATAACCTGACAGCTGAAGATTTCCGCCTGTTGTTGAATGGTTGTGGCGAGGTGAATGTCCAACAGTTGACGAGCTACACTTGTTTTAACGACGAGACTGGAGGTATGTAATGAACGTCGTGTTGTAAAATCTTATCACAACATGGTTGTAATGTAGTTTGTTGTGATGTCGGCATGTGTAGCTAAGTCATGTGATATGATTGATGACGTGACACATTCATAAGTTACAGGTAATTCCATGAGAATGAGAGATATCTGAAAGTAACAGTCTTGACATGTCACAACATGCCTGCCATGTCTGTCATGAAACATCAATGTGTCGTCAGCTTCAGTGCACCGTATGTCATACAGTGGAATGTCATTTCACCTTATATCTTGTCACCTCAGAAGTTGTGATGTTAAATATCATATCGTTTGGCGTGGATGTGACATTAGATGTTACGCCATGTTGATGCGATGTCGTTAGGTCACGATATGCCACGTGATTG